GGGGGGGGGGTTTTGGGGTTTAGGCTCCGGCAGGGTTCAAGGTTCAGAGTGTAGGATTCAGGAGTGTACTGGCCCAAGGAGCAAAGCTAGAGGCTCCCAATCCACCCGTGGGTCCCAGAAAGTGTTGTTGATTTAGAGGGCTCGCTGAGATTTGCCAGCTCGGCGCTACAATCGCAGCCAGCTTTCTGCTTCATGGGCTGCAAGCTAAGTTCCTGTAGAAGAGCACAACCCTTGTAGAAAGGATTGTGACAGTCTCTGGCGGTGTGATCTCCCCTAGCTAGAAGCCGGTGCCTTGAACTCAGCCCCGAACCCAGAACCTTATCAGAAACGTCTGGGTCCTTGGGCTTTCATGTCCGGCAAGCACTGACTGATTTGAGGCTATGCTGCTGAGTACTTCATGACGCCCGGGCCTCGTTGCCTAAGGCTTTGGGAGTGCTTCTGTAACATTTCAGGGTTTCGGGTTCACGAGACTTTACATGGATGGATCCTCAATATAGCAAGGGAGTCCTACTATTAAGAAACCGCATACGCGCTCTCACAGCCGTGGTCCGGCGTTCTTCATCTGTGCTTGCAGTCATAGTCATCGTGCGAGTCTTTCATCTGTGAAGCCACTCCTGTGGCAGCGAATCCGTCTAGCTGGCCCCGAAATCCTGTTCAATCAAAAGTTATTACCGACAAGAACGCAAGGTCAACGAAATCCCGAAACGGCATGGTCCAAAAAAGCCAGGTTACATATTGGAGTGAGCCCTAGAGCCTAAACCCCGGAGCCGTAAATCCTAAACCCTACACACAAGCCCTCCAACCCTGAGCTCCGAGAACCTCTAATCACTCTCATCCCTAACCCCAGCAAGGCTTTATGCTGAACCCTCAAAACCCCGAAAAGGGGATACCCTAATATAGTACCCTAAATNNGGATCCCTATTATAAGGACCCCTAAATAAGGTACCCCTAATTTTCGGAAAGTCCCATATCCAAGAAGAGCTGAAAGCCAGGACGAACTCGACGGAAGGCTCCCACGTGCTTGGTGCTGGCCTCGGTGCTCCGGAAGGAGGCATCGGGACCTTCGACCTTTAAGCGAGGATGTGGGGCCCTGCGTGTTTTGGGTCTAGCGTGTTCATGTTGCCCTAAACCCTAAACCCTAAACCCTAAACGGATCCCTCAGGGTGTAGAGTTCATGTTCAAGATTCCAGGTTTGGGGTTTGGAATTCAGGGGACCAACGCCCAGGGTCCTCGGAGGGCTCCGGACTATTGAGAGCCGCACACCTTGAGTTGAGGCTGTCGTAGCTCGAGTTACTACATAGGGGTTTCTGTAAGGGTTTCTGTACGGCGCAACCGTATGGGGTTACCATCCGGGTAAGTATAGACGGGTTCAGGACTGCAAGGCCAAAGATCAGGACATCGAAACCGAGGCTGTTTCCATTTTGTAGCTTCTCGGTTAACGTGAGGCGCGGGGACTGACGCAACAAGCGACATGCAGAACCTTACGCATGGACCCGGCTCTGTCCCGAAGTCCCGCAGCAAGCAGTTTCAATACACCTTAAGCCCTACCTTAAGAACCCAAAACCCACTTTTTTGTCGGTTCTTATGATATACCCTAATATGGGATTTATAGGGACCCTACAAAAAAGTAGGTTTTGGGTTCTTAAGGTAGACCCTAAACCCTAAACCCCCTCGACCACAAGTTCTTCAGAGCCGAGAATGAGAGAAGCCCCCTGGAGGCCCCGCAAAGTTCCCAGACCCCTACGTACACCCTTAGCCCCTATAGTATGTCTCACAGTACGTAACCGTTGTCGTAACTCTTATAGAAACTCGCATGGCAGCTCTCGTCGCAACTCTTAAAGTAGCTCTTGTCGCACCTCTTTTCGTAGCTCTTATAGCATCGCTGCTTTCAGTAATTGTAAACCCTAAACCCTAAACCCTAAACCCTAAACCCTAATCCCTATTGTTTTTATGAAAAGCAGCTGCGAACCCAGGTTGGATCGGCGATGGGGGCGGATGGGAGCCAGGAGGCCACGAACCTTCCGCTACACTGCTCCCTTTCAGAGACCCGGGGAGTGGGGAGATTAGGGGACTCATGAGTCCCCCTCTCTTTGCCGTACCTGTACTCCCTCGAGTATGCGTCCGGCGTTTTCTTGAAGATGCGGGGAGTGGGGAGACGGGGGTCTCTTGAAATTAGGGGTACCTGATTGGGGCTTACTAGAATGATTCGGATCTTAGGTTGCGGATTTAGGGTTTTGAGTCTTGGGTTAAGACAAGCCTGAAAGATCGGCAATAGTATCCCCTTGTAATCCCGTTGATAGCTATAGTCTGCTAGGCCCCCAAACCCTTTACTAAATCTTAGGGCCCGCAATTTGGGCTTTAGCATGGTTTATGTTGGCGTCTGTTTTTCTGCACTCATTCTCACATGGTGTGCACAGGTGAACCTCCTCGCAATGCTCCTCTGCCACCAGCCGCCCGGCAATGGAGGACTTGCCATACTACAGAGGCCTTAATATTAGAATTAGCTTTTTGGGTACAGGACCCCTGTATTAACTGTCGGGCACGAGTTCAGGCTTTCGGGTCGATGAACTGGAAGCCGAATATTAAACAAAACCTCTGGTGTTGTTGAAGGGCGGTGGCGGTATCTGTCGACTTTCGAACACAGAGTTGTGCCTATGCATGGCCAAGCTGACGAGCTGTCTGTCTGAAAAGCTTTCCTAAACCCTAAACCCTAAACCCTAAACCCTAAACCCTAAACCCTCTGTCTGAAACGCTTTCCTAAGATTCCTCCGGGCGACACGGAGCCTCCGGGCCCGTGTGGCCCCATGTGCCGGTGCGGCCAGGCCCCTTCGGCTACTCGGGGCATGAGGGTTTGGGGTTTAGGGTTTCGGATTTAAGGTTTCGGGTTTCGGGTTTAGGGTTTAGGGTTTGGGGTTGAGGGTTTAGGGTTTAGGGTTTAGGGTTTAGGGCTTCGGATTTTTTAGGTTTCGGGTTGCAGGACGTGTGGTGTGGACCCCCATTTTTTCTAGGCGCTGAGCTCTGTTGGGTTGAGGGTCGAGGCCACAGTCCCTTCGAGACCAGAAATCTTCGATCTACATGGGTAGTTATAAGTGAGGTTATAAGGCTCCTTAAAGGGATCTATAAGAGGGTTCTCCATAACCCTAAACCCTAAACCCTAAACCCTAAACCCCTAAACCCTAAACCCTAAACCCTAAACCCTATAAGGGGTCCTGTAAAGGGTCTATAAGGGGTCTACTTGGAGGTTCATGG